TTTGCCCTATACCTTTAGAGAGATTCAGCGAGGCACAGGACAGTTTAGAAAGTGATCTCTCTGACACTATCATTCAGCAGTTCTTTGAGCCAGCAGTTGCTTTGAGCCCTGGAAGCAGGCTCCTCTACTTTCTCTCAGTCCTGAGATGAACAGCCTGCCTTTAAGGCAGAAAATACTTCATTGATCCCAAAAGGAAATTAGGACATGATGTATTTTGCTTAGAAAGTATTTAAAGTTGGCTTTCTCCTTCCTCTGACTTTAAATACAGCAAAGACAAACGATGCTTTAGGAGGTTTGCCTCATTAATTGTAGAGATTAATAGTTTAATTTGTCTTTAAAGGCTAGTCCTCACGGGCAAACCATGCCTCACTGGCTTTGTAGCTAATAATGTTGTCTTTAAGGTATGGGTAAGTGGGGTGCAATAGCTTTTTTGAATGCTTAGACTCCCAGCTTAATTGATTTTTGTATCAAGTATTTGTTTTGCCATCAAAGAAAAATTGGATACTTAAACCTATAAGCCTAGTTGGTCCAAAACAAGATGCATAAGAAGGGTTACAGTAGAAAGGGCAAACATTGTAAAACCTGTTATCCAATCATTTATGCCGATGATTAAGATTTATATATCAATTCATCTGAGACTTGGGTTGAATACAAGAGCGAAGTTTGAATCTACAACTGAGGTTGGATGCCGGTTGAAAAAATAAAGGACCTGGAAGCCAATCAAAGCTCAGAGGACAAGGAAAAAAAAAAAGGCTATTCCAATACGGAGTCTGAGGGGAAACTTAAATAAACTCGCTAAGACATTCCATCCAACCTGATTGAGCTTGAGCCATTTTCTAAAGGTGAAGGGGTCAAGACCTCAATCTGGTGTTGAGGGGCTTTCTACAGAGTATCAAGGCCAGACAGCTTTGTACAAATACATATCAGCATGAGCTACTATAGAATGGTTTCAATCAAAGTGTAGATATAGTTAAGTTAAGGTCAAATACGAATCCATGTGACTTGAAATTGGTGTTCATAACTGCTTGCAAACTATGCTTTTTTTTAAAAAGGAAAATGGGCGAAAAGGTTTCTAGGTGTGCTAAGATGGTAGAGACACACTGAAACAGACAGGACTTTAACACCATCCACAAATCTGCATCATTAATGGCCTAAACCAGGGGTCTTCAACATTGTTCAGGCCAAGGACCCCTGAACTGAGCGTGAGGTGGACCCCCTAATTATATATATTGTATGAAATTGTTATATCAGACTGGTCCTATAGTCACTCTATTACATATGGAGTAATGTAACAAAGGTAATTTCGATCTGGGTTTATTAAAGTATTTCTGATTCCTGGTTGATGGGACAGGTGTTGTGAATGAAACGGTGCCCAGCTTGAAATAGCTCCTGTGTGTCGCTGAATGTGTGCATTGATGACTGAAAGACATCTTCTGCCTCCATTTATCTGTTTACTACAGTGTGTTGAAATCATGTTAATGTGGATTTAAAGACATTTCAATTAGTGGAAAAAATTGCATAAAAAATAAACCAAAACTTTGGCGATCCCCATAAACCTGTCCCATCAACGAGGAATCAGAATCAGTAATACTTTAATAATCCCAGGGCGAAATTACTTTGGTTACATTTCTCCATCTGTAATAGAGTGACTATAGGACCAGTTTTATATAACACAAGTTCATACAATATATATAATTAGGGGATCCCTGCCCCATCTCCTTGGCCTGGAAGACATTGAAGACCCCTGGTTTATCATAGACTTCTCTTCAGTTTTTAAAAGGAAGTATAATAGGTCCTGTTTAAAGAATTGTTGAATGTCTTCATTGTTTTCCAGAGATCAGATCACATTAGGGTTTGTCTATGTATGTTCATTTACATTATGTGGAGAGATAATGGATGTTTTAATGGCACCATGATTAAGGAAAGGGCTCAATGCCAGGTAGATGCTAAACTTTCAAGAGACTAAAAGCTCTTTCCTCTTTGTCTAGAATGAGCTGTAGGGACCAAAGCCCTGCCTGTCAGTGAGATCAGAGCTGCCTGGCTGCAGTTACAACATTATTTTGTTGATTTTTCAGACAATAGAAGAGTACTTTTTGAAAATATACTCCATGTGTGAGATTGATTGGTGACTCCATTATGTTTTAGACCTTTTTTGTAGGGGAGGAGAAGCAAGACCCCAAGAAAAATGTCAGGGCAACAGTCTTTGAACCCAATCATGGCAGAAAGTGGGTCTATAACTGCAGGAGGAACTCGATTTTAGTCTCTTTCACTGTCTTTAGAGTCTGACTGTGGGAAATGGTGTTAGGGAAAATGCCACAGAAATAAAAATCCGCTTTAGCCTGAAAAAAATCTGTATTTGGGCTAAGATGAAGTAATGAATTGATGTTATTCTAGAAATGAACAGAAACTCATTTCAGTCCTTTGTTTGGATGTCAGCCTGTAATTTGCTAGACGCCTCCAAGGTCAGCCTCAATCAAATTTGAGCCGAGCTGGAGAGAAAAAAACAAAGACAACAACAGTCTTTATTTCTGTTCTTGTATAGATTAGCTTACATCGGGTATTTTTCCCTCCTATAGTTGACTCGGCAGTGTGTGGCGGCCCCAATAAGCAACAACAAGGCCTGTAATGAGGCTGGCATGGAAACGATCCAGCCTAAAGGGGACATCGCTCTGCATTCATCTGCCTTTTTTTCCATCAGTGCACCAGAAATGAGATAAATTAAGGTTTAAAAGGCGGCACATTTGTTATTTCTGTCCCTGAAGGCTCTCAATAGGTAAACCTGTTTTAGATGTCCGGCTCATTGGCTTTATATATAAATGGTTGTCAATCGCTCTACTTTTTTATTTGGTATGGATTTTTATGGTGTGAATTTTGTTACATAATTGTTGAAAGCAAAGTACATGTAACATTATGTAAATAGAAATTTAAAGGAAAGAATAAAAAAAAAATGTCAAAATGTATTTGGAAGAAAAAAATAACAAAATGAAACTTAGAAAAACCTTTCCAAAAAAAGGAAAAAAAAATGTTGGACTTTAAATTGGACTTTTTTGTCCAAGTTTGAAGACGTTTCGCTTCCCATCCAGAAAGGTATCTCAATTGAAAAAGTCTGTAGTAGCACTGAGTTCCAGGCTTTGTTGATTAGCCCAACAAAACCCTTATTATGGTGGAAAAACATGCAAATTGTCACTCTTGTGCAATATTCTTCTCTCTCACTGTGCAATAACACGTGCCTACTTTATAGCCTATGTAATTTTTGACTTATTTATGGAAAAGTCTGTAAAGTTCTGCAGTCCAAGTGCAATAATCCAAGTCAATTACTGTGTAGTCTTCCATTTCCCTTTTCTACTGTGCAGATATTTTTATATTTAAGGGAAACATATTCCAGGACTTTAAAACATTTTTCTTTTTTTTAATGCTTTTTTGTACTTTGTACATACTTTTTATATGGTCTGTAGTATTCTTTATCTTCAATGGCATCTTGCTTTTACTCTTTGTACTCTATATAAGCTACTGGAACCAGAATTTCCCTGAAGGAGTAATCCCAAGGGATAAATAAATTTGAGTCTAAATGGCAGATTAGACTTCTGCATCCGCACACATCAAATGTCGCTTTGGTCTGGTTGCGAACCAGTTTTTGCTGGTATGCTTCTACACTGTTGGTCTGGAATTTCTAGGGACACACAGCAGTTTCCCGCTAAAGCGCAAGGGGGAGCCTATTCGAGAACTCGCGAGAACTTCGACGGGCGGTCACAAGAACTTTGGCGGCACCGGCGGGAGTGTTTATCTTCCAAAACAACAATCATGCGTCTGCAAGATATCGAGGTCACAGAGCTGCATCTAGAGTTGCTAGACATAGAAGAGGAACAGGTTCTGTTAATGGAGTTGGCAAAAAGACAGATTCACTTTTTGTCGTAGTTGTTCCTCGGTTTTTAAAAATGGCGCGCCCTGGCACCGAATCAAGAAGGACGACCACACAGACAGCCGGAAAGGCATACCAAGGACCGATCACAGCTGCTTTTCGTCTGTGCACTTCTGCGTCTGTGCGGGTTTGCGACTGTCCGACACATAGTCAGGATTTTTTTTTTTTTGAGGACGATGGTTGCAGAACCTCTGCGCGGGGGGCGTGGTCGTTGCACAGAGACAGATTTGACGGTTGCAGAGGCAATGGGTCAGAAGCATAAATTGGCCTTAAGTCTATGAAAACAGGTCCACCCCTTAGTAATGGGGAGTCATTGAGGATTTTTTTAATCGAGAAAGCTTACAGGATGGGAAGCGAAATGTCTTCAAACTTGGAAAACAAAGTCCAGTTTTTTTTTTACTTTTTTGGAATGACTATGACCCGGATGACTGGGAACCTTCACCAGCACTTAGAAAAACCTTTTACTCAAAAAACCAAAATTTTAAGTAACATTTTTTCATATTTTTTAAATAGATATTATGTATTGGTTGGGGGGAAGATAAAATCTGTAAAACAAAAATACTTTTGAAGAAAACTTAATTGGAAAAAAAAGGTGAAAAAGTATTTTTTTGTAAGTAAAAATCAATTGAAAATTTTTTTTTTATTGTCATTCGTCGTTTTTCTTTTTTTTTTTTTCTGCAACAATTATGGAGCAAAATTCCCTCCGTACATATGTTGCCTTTCGAGTCGATTCAATTTGGTCTCTGTGGTAGAAATCAAAGGTGATCATTTTGAATCTTATTAAATGTCCTGTAAAAAGCAAAGCAATGATCAGTGTTTATTTACCCATTTTAACCACAGTTTGTTTACCATACAATAATACGTCAGTCAGTTATATGCTGAGGGAAAGAAACATAACTCAGACACTCTAGAAGAGTTATAAATAATTGATGCAAAAAGGGAGAGATGAGAAGATCATGCATGAAATATCACAAGATCTAAGGAAGGCAGCTTTCATTTATGTTTTAATGCTGGTTTTGCAAAGATGTGCAAAAAAAGAAACTAAACAAAAGCTCCCCCTCCGAAACCAAACCTGATACAGGTGGACGACATCTTAGGAGAGGAGAGCGACAACGAGAGTGACGGCCGCGGGAAGGAGAAGCCGGGGAATGAGGATATTGCTGAGGAAGAGGAGGAGGATGAGCAGCGGCCTGGAGCTGGAGAGACGACAGCGCAGGGACCCGGCCCTGAGGCACAAAGTGTGGAGGAGAGACTTCAGATGCCACCCAGTGACTCCAGTTTGTGCCAGAATGCCCCCAGGTGAGGAAGAGATACTCTGTCGGTTTTCCTCGCCTCACTGGGTTTCTCGCCGTCTTAAACCAAAGCGGCTCTTTTCCAACCAGATGTTTACAGAGATGGTGTGTAGGGGAGAAGCAGGCCTAAAATACGCTGGATGTTTCCAGGTTCAGCGTCTGCTATCATAACAGACCACTTCATCAGCGTGTCTGTGCTGCAGCCAGACGGTCTGTCCGGTTACCATGGAGACTAATTCCAAACAGACAGCAGGCATTTGAAGATTTCTGAGCATAATTATGAGGATCTTCTGTTGTTGACGGGCAGGCCGAGCTGTCGCTCTGCCAGAGCTGATTTTCCCTCAGTAAAAAGTCAGAACCTCCTGCATGTTGCACTTTACTCAGATTTAGATAGTCCACAGGGATTAATAATCTAAATTATTTTTATCATAGCAGCTAGTATATGCCTCCTGGGGAAAAAAATAAAAAATGTCAACGCCAAAGGCGATACAGAAATTTACACTTATAGTAGATACCCAGAGAACGTAAAAACAGGAAGTGAAAGTAAACGTTTATAAGCTAAGATACCAGAATTAATCTGAAAACATTAGACTGCTCAATTTTTTTCAGCCGTTTCACAATCTCAATAAGTGGACTGGAAAAACAATAAATAAGTAAAAATGTCTTAAATTAAGTGTATTTACCCGTAATTTGAGCAGGTAAATAAGATCATTAGCCAATGGAATGAGTATTTTTACTCTTAAAATAAGATAATTAGATAATATGCACAGAAAATAAGACAATGCACAAGTTCTTTCTTATTTTAAATGTAAATTGTCTTGATCTATTAGCAAAATGTCTCTTTTAGGTCCTCAATTCAAGACCAAATGCAGTTATTTTAAGAGAAAATGTGTGAATGTTTCTTAAAGTGAACAAACTGGAGTTAATCCATAAAAGTTTGCAGCTTGTGCTTCAAACTGGCCCGAAATGAGCAATTAAATCTCAGAGGAATTCCTTTAAAAAGTGACAAAAACAAATCTGAGAAAACATCAATTATTATTAATTTAAATGTTTTTCAAAGTAAAATTTCTCAATTTTCAATTCAAAACATGTGTCCTTTGCTTCCAACAATAACGGAATCAACTTTACTCCATTCCTTTCTGTTGTGTTCATGGTTTAAAACCATAATGATTTTTCATTTGTCAGCTCTAAGCTAAAGTGAAAGGGAAATTTTTGTGAATTTTTCAAATCTTTTATTCCTTTTCTCTGACTTGAAGTATTAAACTAGAGGAGACAGAGCCACCCAGGCCATGTTAGTTTACTTTATGTCTGACAACACAGAGGAATCTCTGCCTCCTGGTATCCAGTCATCTGCCAGAATCAGTCCGTTTCTACCTTCCCCATATGGCTCCTTTCTGATTCAGACGGCGCCGCCTTGGACCTTTAACTGAACCTAATGGCTGCCATTCTGCCAGTCTCCATCCCTGGCTCTACCTCTTCCTTTTATTTCCTATAAAACAGGCTCACATCTGTTGCTAAGAGACTGTGACGATGTGAATGTCCCCGTTTTGTTCTCAGCGCCATTCAGGATCTGCTCAGGCCTGTCTGAGGACAGAGCAGCTCCTTTCGCTGCTCTTTTCTTACCACGGCCAATCCGGCCACCAAAGCTGAGGTTTTTTAGTCCCCGCCGCTAATGGCTAAACACTCCTAATGTTCTCCATAGTGTTTAATTCATCCTACTGAATAGAAATTTCATGCAAATTTTGAAGAAAAACAATCTAGTTCAGGGTTTTGAAGAAATAAAACCAATGTTTTATTGACAAAATACTTTTTTATAAATAGTTTTTGAATTAAAAACAATTCTCAGCTCCAACTTATAAGTTACAATTCCCCTTTAAGAACTAAAACTAAGAATAATTATGCTGTTCAAATAGCTAAAAATGATTTCAAAACAAAGACAGTACGACTATTTAGTTTATTTTTAAATTAGCTTTGTTTGCATCACTACAAACATCATTTTCTTTGTGTGTTTTATCCCTCTGGACTAGGACGGTTTTTACTTTAGCTGGAAAACTCCAAAAAATAATGATAATAATCTAACTTTATTGATCTCACATTGGAGAAATTTACCTCTGCATTTAAAGGAAAAGTCCGATCAGCAAGGAATAGCCAACGACTCATTATTTATACCTACACTAATACGTTCGTAGTGATTTAATTAATTTAGCGATGACCGAGTCCAGGAGCGGCCACTTTTCCCAAATATAGTAACACCTCCCTCCTGCCATCTTCCTGCAGTGACATCATGGTGCGGTAAGCCTAGCGCCATTCTCCCCTCTTTACAAGCT